CCCCAAAACCCCAAAACCCCAAAACCCCAAAACCCCAAAACCCCAAAACCCCAATTTTTCATCAATTTGTTGGAACAGAAAGAATTAATCCTCTAATAAACCTTGATATCTCCTTCCATTCTTGGACTTTTTCTTTGTCTTTGGTCTGAACCTCCATTGAATAAAGAATCCGATAACAAAGATAACTATGATTCCTGCAAGATAGCCCCAGAAATAATAGTCTGTCTTTGGGGCAATTCCATTTTTAAGTTGCTCAATTAAACTTACTTCATCTGGGAAATGCCCGACGAAGACTGAAATTCCTCTAACAAGTGAGTATGAGCCAATAAGAGAGGTAACTCCTATGCAAAGGAAGACTCCTACAAAGCAGCTTATAATACCTCATCCGAGAGATCAGGCCCCAATGACGACCCAAAACAGGGCTTTAGATTGTGCATATCTGAACACTGCACTATTAAGAATCAGTGCTATGCAAAGGCCAGCAATTGCAGCAAGTATAAAGATGCCTCCCTTCTTGAATTTCACCAATGCATATCCTACTATACATCCAAGCACAAGGGCTATTCCTAAAATGATCCATAGTACGTATTGCTCAGTGTTCTTTGTAATAATAAATTGAAATGCGATTATAGCAGCGACCAGAACAGTTGTCACAACTCCTCCCAAGAATAGCGATACTAGTAGTAATCTGAAGCCGAATAGTAGCAGAAGAATTCCGAGAACAATGAGGATAGTACCAAAAATGTAATAATTCTTGGATAAAAATTCGAAGACTTCTCTGTAGCTTACAATGGCGCATCCAAGTTTGGATTCAAAAACTGTTCTTATCTGGCAAGTTCCATCTGAATACCCTCCGCTATAGTAATATCGCAGGTCTTTTGGGTCAGTCGCATCAGTGCATATCACGTCCATGCTGAAGCCTAGATTTCTAGTCCCATCGTCCGGACATGGCTCCTGACCTTCCCAGGAGAGCCTCAGGTAGTCTCTACTCCTGTCCAATTTATTATTAACATAAGTAACCTCTGCTTCGTTCCAGTTAGGGGTGGTCAAAAGGACACATTCCTTCGTGTCTTCATCTCTCAGAATAGCTGCCCCTCTTTGGTCTGCATCTTTCGAAATGTTACTACAGTCAATATTTGAGTCGTTACAGAAGCTGAAGTAGATCTTCTTGTTGGTCACTCCTGACTCAGCGAGGTAGGTTCCAGAGTCTTCGTCTTCAATCTTGTCTTTGGCAGGGAGGAAAGTGAAAATAGCGAAGTTTTCGAAGTAGCTTCATTTGTAGGACAGGGAGATTAGAGTGAGAGGTTGGGGTAACGGGCTCTGGTCCTTTTGGAGAAAGGCTGGCTGGGACTGGGAGCTGATACTGAGGAGTAAAGATAGCGTGAGTAAGAGTATTAGCTTCATTTTATAATTTACCCAAAAAATAATAATTTTGGGGTTTTGGGGTTTTGGGGTTTTGGGGTTTTGGGGTTTTGGGG